CCCGTCCTTTCCTTTCAGAATCTCAGTGCGGTTGAGTTGGTCAGCTCGAGTTATGGCATCGTCTATTAGTTTTTCCGGGTATTTTCTTTTTACTAGAGAACTTTTGAGCCTATTACAATTTTCAATGAATCTGTACGGTCAGAGCACAACCGTTTAAAGCGGTGAGCCTGGCTATAGGGGAATTCCTGTTTTGCAATGCCGGGGGTGGCCACTCTGAAAATGCAGGAGTTGATGTCGGTCAGTAGGCTTGCGGAACAGCTTCTGTAGCAAGTTGTCCTTCGGAAATGGTGACTGTGACATCGAGAAAATTTACAGAAGTGCGCGAAAATTGGTGCGAGAACTTAATAGACGATGGAAATTATTAAACTTTTGAATGAAACCAAGCAGACTTGCTTCATCATGTGTCCAGACAAGAAAAATATCGTCAATGAAGCGCCTATAGTAGAGAGGTTGAAGCATGTTTTTACCTAAAAAATTCGCATTCCAGAATGCCCATAAAAATGTTGGCGTAGTTAGGGCCTACTTTCGTACCCATTGAGGTGCCGTTGGCTTGTACATAGTGAATGTTGTTAAACTCAAAATTGTTTAATTCAAGGATAAGTTTCAAAAGAGTACCAAGCGCTTCTTTATCAATAGTTTTATCTAAAGGGGAATTTTCATAGGCCTTTATTACTGCAGAAATACCATCTTTATGCGGTATGTTGGTGTATAGTGATGCTACGTCCAGCGTTACTAACATTGAACCAGATGGAACATGAAGATCTACAATTTCTTGAAGGAAATGGTTGGTGTCTTTGATGAATGACGGAAATGTGGCTGGAATCTTGTTTATGAGGGAGTCAACGTAACGAGATAAATTTTCGGTAACGGTGCCGATTCCGGAAATGATGGGGCGGCCGGGATTATTCTGCTTGTGAATTTTAGGAAGCATATAAAATCTTCCCGCTACGGGACTGAGTGGTACCAAAGAGCGGACTGTCTTTTCATCTAATTTACCATGTTCTAGTAAAGACGTAAGTGCGTCCTTAAGCTTAGATTTAAATTCGCTGGTAGGATCGGAGGGCAAAGCTTTGTAAAAAGTGGCATCTGAAAGTTGCCTCTCGGCCTCGCTTATATAATCAACCGCGTTGAGAATTACAATGGCCCCCCCTTTATCGGCTGGTTTGATGACGATGTCATGGTTTGTCGACAACTGTTCGAGAGCAACCTTCTCTTTTTTGGAAAAATTGTGGCGGTAAGGCGCAGTTTTCTTATAGGCAGCGAAAATGTCGCGTTGTACAGCGTTTATGTAAATGTCAAGACATCTGTCGCGATGTGGTGGGGGTGTCCATTGTTTATATGTCGGTAGTGCAGGTCTGGTTTCATTCGGGCTTCGGCGGTCATGATAGTATTCTCTCAGACGCAAATTACGGGAAAAGTTGTGTAGATCCTTCAGAAGTTGAAACTCGTTGAAGCCACCTGAAGCGGGGCAAAATTTGAGGCCCTTTGACAGAGCACCCATTTGTTCGTTGGAAAGAACTATGTTTGAAAGGTTTACAACGCTGCTATCTATTTGAGAAGACTGGTCTTTCGAATCATTCGAACGTGTTGCGGCGCGTTTGGTCGCCTCAAATTCGCGTTCGTGCGTACATAAACCATCACGTAGAAACTTCTTCTGTTTAGTTGTGTTTAACTTGTTCCTCTTACGTTCTTCATAGGCAATTAAACATTCAGACTCATGCACTGCTAGCTTCTTTAACAGGCGAGCTTCTGTATGCTGAAGGTCTTGCGTGCAAGATTTATAATGGTCAATAATTATGGGTATGAGATCTAAGGACGCTTTACTTAACACTTCTTGCCATTTGGTTTTGTTAGAGGCCGAAAGTTCAGAAGTAGCTGGTTTAAATCTTATCTGTAAACCTTTCGGGACCACCGAAGCATTCAAGTAGCTCGTAAGTGAGGATACGTGTAGCTCGGAACGAACTCTTTTCTCAATAATTTTCCTAGCTTCTAAAAACTCTCGCGAAGGAAGACTTGAAACATTGCCTTTAAGCGTAGGCGCCTGCCGTCAGTCGGTGGCACTCCCTCGACCGGCGTTCCGGCGGGTAGGGTAGCGATGACCCGTGGTGGCGGGAGCCTCAGTTCGGTTTGCCGAGTTGTGTCTTGGCTTGAAGAACCGGAGTTGTGTGTAGCACCCGCAGGGGACGTTTGTTGGCGCCTCCTGGGGGACGTCGGCGTAGATCGTTCTGGGGGTTCGCAAGGTGGGCAGTCACGCCATGATGATGTAGTTCCTAGGAAACGTTTGCAGCAGAGTTCGCGAATGTGGCTGGCGATGATGGCAACACCTTCGAAGCTTAGATGAAGACCATCAGCTGCCAACACACGTGTCAGGGGCAGCCAGTGGAGACCATGATCGACGAAAAAAACTTTCTTGGAGCGCCTACAGTAGTTGTGCAGCAGTCGGTTGAAGTACGTGGCTTCCATATTGCACCGGTAAACAAATGAAAGGTTGCCGTTGCCA